GCAATTCTCGGTTTGCTATGCTTATTGATGAACGCTTCAGGGTAAGCGTTCCGTTTTTGTATCTATGTATGTAGGCTCGTTTCTCCGTCTACTGGTTGTTTATCAGACATGCTTTTTGCGATCAACAGGGTAAAATTTGAACCCCATAGCCACGAGTATCCGCTGTTTACTCATTATAATCAGCAAACAACTTCAAGGGACGAGTTACATGACCTGTCAATAGGATAGGTCTGGTATTGAACGTGAACGAGACTAAAGGAGCTTAGCAACAAAGTTGATTGGTAGTGACAAGGTTCCAATCGCGTTTTGTGCTTCTCTCTCATTCTGTCTCCCGTGTTATCCATTTTCCCTTCCACTCCTATTCCTCGGATTGTGTAATCCAGATTACCGTCAAGGAGTCCACGGTTTGTACTCAATTCCACACTCGATTGAGAGGTACTCGTAGCTTACAACGGCTCACTACTCACGAGATGCCCGGCTCAGCTCGACCCCAATCGTTCGTGATGACACGAAACGGTTCACTGGATAACCTGTCTCACGATCACCCCGTACCGGATGGGGAGGCACCTGATTCATCCGGGATCACAACCACCACGACGACCACAACATCGTCCAGTCCATTGGATAGTGGTTTGCACTTGGTCATCTCCACTGAGCATTCACACAATTCAACCGCGGAAGAGACGCAGTCCACGGGGGCCGGGACCGTGTCCGCTACTTCCATTGATCACCCGGCACTGACTTTGCAACTTCGCCTATTCCCTCGTCTGATGCCCGAATGGGAGTTTATCGATGGCCTGTCCCGGCTAGCCAGACGACTTGTTCCGATCAGTTCGAAAGAGCGTCGAAGTGAGTGTCTGGTGTCTCCACCACCTTTCTGTCCGGGTCATTTGTTTTTAAACTTTATTTACTCTCTTTTGAGTACCCTCTATTACCGGCAATAACATCCTTATGGAGCACAATTTTTCCATCGCGACTGTAGTGTCTTCTGATTCCTCTGCTTCGGGAAATCGGCAGAAATTTTTTTTCTGGCTCTCCTGAACGAGCTAACTTCCAGAGAGACTAAAAAACATGGACTTTAGTTTCACATATGAATTTTTGGTGTTCTGACTGTGGTGAAACCATCCACCACTAGAAGGCTGGGAATGCTCCTCCCACCCGTCCATATAGAGTGCTTTAAACGGCAGTCCCGAAGCATTTCGTGCAACGAGGCTGAGACCCCTCTGCTGTGAAAAAAAATCACACCCACTTTGTTTTTCACTTTCACCATATTCAACTTAGTTCTCGTGGGTGCAGCTCTTCATGGTACTCACTATTATCATCCCGATTGCATGGTCACAGCGGTTAGTGTTCAATACCACACATTCCTACTGTTCGTTCAATCCGATCCCCCCCGCCGTCCACCGTCATCCTATTCTCTGTTGCTTTTGTCACTGTGTTGTTCACTCATGACTACCTCAGCATGGTGATCGTTATATATGTGTGTGTGATGGTACCATTAGCCCTATGTTGTTGTTGATGACGTCACCATCGATGTATGAGTTATACCTTTTTCAATTTAAGATGTCACAGCATCAGTTTTGCACTCGAAAAGGTCATCGGAAATTTCTAGAACTGACCTTAATCCCCCTTCGCCTTGCGCTGAACCCAATTGAAGGCGTATGGAATGTGACCAGAATGCTTGAAATAGTATGTATGCACAGTTGGACCGTGTACCCTGTGTTTTGATCATAGAGGTTCGCTTTTTTTCGCCTCCCTAAAAATAAGCCCAATCCCTGTCCTCCTTACACATTCTAACTTATCTTGTATGCATTATGAGTTTGGCAGCGATCAGTGAAGCTCGCTTCACTGTATGATGCTGTACAATGATAATGATGGTGTATGACAAAGGATGCGTAAACAGTACAGTGTATTACTTACGGGTGACCCTTCTAGCTTGATGTCAGTGCGCGAATGGCGCATGCAATGCCTGGAAGAAGTCCTCCAAAGAGCGGAGGTACTCGTGACAGCAGTACATTGCAAAAATCTCGTGAGACTCGTCCCGGATTTGTACCCGAAAGTTATCCAGCGGGAAGATTTATGATTATTTCCATTATAATAAACATTTTTATTTTTCCTTGAAAGACCAAACGTTCGTATTATTACGTACTAACGTGAACGAGTTGATTTCCTGTTGTTAGTCGTGACAGCTCCGGCCAGGTTCTTTAGAGGTGAGTCGCATTGGCCACTCGCACCAAAAGCCTCAGTCATCTGTCTGACGGAGTGTTGACATACCGAGGGTGGATGAGAAGTGATTCCAATTGCCAGTGTTATTCGACCGGTTATCTAGGAACACTGAAACTGAAGTTGGTATCACACTTTGGTTGTAACATAGCGGTACACGGCCATACACTGCTCTGGTGGTGAGAAGTCTCCTCTATTCAAAATTGAACTGCAGACGGATTGTCCGAGAAAGACCAAAGAAATGGCCTCTAAGATCACCTGATCTGTCTGCTTTGAATTTCTTTCTGTGGTCATATCTAAAGCGAACCGTTTATTCCCGAGAGCCGGGACCGATCTGGGAGCTAAAATAGAGTATCGTCGAGCAGTACAAAAGTATTCCGACTGGTACTATTCTGAAGGTGGTAGAAACTATGTCCGTCGTACTTTGCTATGCAAACAGCATGATGGAAAATATTTCGAACGACTTATAAAATAACTATGCATTATTCAATATCGTTTTTTCTTTCCTACAGAATTCTACCTCCGACAAGGTTAGCAAGATCGCTCAACGCGAAAAATGCTAAGCATAGTTTTGCGTTGGCCGATATTAGTGGATATTGTAGTCCTCCGTACTTAAGACAAGTTCAATGTTTTAGTATGATTATCCGTTTACCGAACCCGCTTAGAAAAATAGTTCGTGTATCTTAGACGAGTCAAACGCTGGCCCAGTGTCATCATCATGGCTTGAGCATTTTCCATTCCGAATTTCCCACATGATGTATCGTATCACATCTGATTCTCCTGTGATGATTCTCTACCAACACTTAAGTAGCATCGGAAACAGAACTTACACTCCTCTTATGACGGCCCGAAAATCACTCGACCGATCGGGTTCATTTCGGAATTTCCCACATGGCGCACCGCTCCACAACTAACTCTCATGGGATGATTCTCTACTAACACAGGCTGCATCGGATTCGGAACCTATCCTCCTCCTGCGCCGACCCGAAGATCACACGACCGATCGGGTTGATTTATCGATCGAATGGTTCAGCCACAACAAGGGACCTGGTGCTCGCTCAGCTAACCCGAGCGAGAAGCCACACCTTTTTTACAGCCGAG